GTGAGGAATGGCCCTCTCCAAGGACATTTTTTCCCCTTTTCCCTTCCTTTCTAAAGTTTCCTTAGGTGGCCTTACTCTGAGTGGCTTCTGAGAAACATCTACTAGAAAGTGGAGGAGTCAGAAGTCGCTGTCTCCCCTTCCCGGGCCCTTCACCTTCAACAGTGGCTTTGCTGCTTGGATATTTCTCTATATATGATGAGACACTCAGAGAAAAGGGTTTCTGTGGAGATCTCCACGGTGTATCCCCAAAAGTTGCAGGACTTGTTAGGAGAAATATGTGATCCTGAGGGTACCCAGGGGTCCTGTGTAAATTCTGAGAGACTGAGAGGCAGTGCTATCATTTCTGTCCTGGAAGCTGAAAACACATCAAAGCCTTTTGTGCTGAGAGTAAATATTTGATTTCTGAATAGAATTCTCACCCCCTCAGAACCCAGAGGAACTCGGGCTTGCGGCTATGGTTGCTAAACGTGCTCTATTCAACAGCTCTCCAGAGGGACAAAGGGAAGAAATTAATTGGCCTTAAAGAGTTGGAGAGAGCCAGGCAGTTTTTGCTGACCTACTTAAGATGTGAGGACATTGTAGGGGGCATCTTTGGAGCTCTACTCTTGTGAGGCATTGGTGTTGGCTATAAACAGGCTGGGAAATCATAGGGAAGCCACAGATGATGCCCCTCTCCTCAAAAGCACCATTGTTTCTCTTCTCTGAGGTCCTCAGATGGTGTCCACCCACCAACAGCATCCCAAGCAAGGATTCATTCTCATCCCCCTTCTCACCCGCCTTCCAAAGAGGGAGGCACAGAAATGAAAATCAGCTGGCCAGCATCCAATAATTGCCTACTGTGTGAAGAGAACTCTATGTCCTAAACATTAAGAATGATGGACCATGGTGGTGGTGGTGGGGCACCTTCAAAAGCAATACTGGCCTGGGGCTGGAGCTCAGTGGTACAGCATGTGCTTAGCATGCACAAGGCCCTGGGATCAGTCCCAGCACCAAAAAAAAAAAAAAAAGAGTAATAGTTGGCACTATTTAGGAGCTTAAATATAGTTGGGCAAGTGCACCTAAACCTCCGGTGGGTATTAGGTTATTGGGAGTTCATTTGAATTGCCCTTTACAAATTATTCTTAAGTATTTTTTTTAAATAAATCTCCTTCAGTAACTTTGGCCTCAAACTTACTATGTGGCTGAGAAAAATCTTCCACATCTTGATCCCCCTGCCTCCACCTTCTGAAAGCTAGAATTATGGCTGTCTCCTGTTTTTTTGTGAGGCTGGGAATCAAACCCAGGATTTCATGCATGCTAGGCAAGCATTCTAACAACTGCTCTCAACCAAGTCCGGGAATAAACAGTGGGTAAAAAAAGAGAGGGCTTTTAGGAAGTGCAGAGATGGCTCAGCAATTAAGAATACTTCCCATGATTCCAAAGGACCTGAGTTTGGTTCCCAGCACCCACATTGGGCTGCTCACAATATCCTGTAACTCCAGTTCCAGGTGATCCAACACCTTCTTCTGATTTACACACACACTCACACACACACACACACACACACAGAGAGAGAGAGAGAGAGAGAGAGAGAGAGATTTAAAAATCTCAAAACAAAAAGATGAAGACAGGATGTGGGAGAGAAAAGAAAAGATGGGTAACAGGACCTTAACAAATAAAACTTAACCCCCATACAAATAACAAAACTCCCCTAATGGTGGGACTTGGGGTACTAAGGAATTTCTTAAATAGGGTCAAAGTAGAGAAAAATAAGTTAGATCCCCACTAAATGGAGAGGTACCTTTAAGGACAGTCCCAAATTTTCATCCCTGTGTCAACCCTTAAAAAGAATATGGTTTTGCTTACCTTACACATCCTTGCCACCGTCAGGATGGACTATCTGGAAGCTAAGGAGTGTTACTTGATAAGAACCTTTACTTGGGTAGGTATGTGGTGCACACCTTTAATCCCAGCACTGGGAAGCAGAGGCAGAAGAGCTCTGAGTTTGAGGTCAGCCTGGTCTATGTAGTGAGTTCAAGGACACCCAGAGCTACATAATTAGACCTTGTCTCAAAACAAAAAACAACATAAGGTCCTTGGATCATCAGTGATAGAAATTCACATTGAACTATTAGCAGGGAAAAAAGTGTGTGGAAGGTGATTTCTTGTGTTCTATAACAAAAGTAGGGTGGAGGCTGGAAATAAGGCGCTCAGGTACCATCACAAACATCGTATCATGGATACAGAAGAAGATAGGGGTCTCAGTGTATCCATGATAAAATTAGAGAATATTTTGCAAAAAGCACTGGTGCAGATGCTGTTGAGAAAAAACAGGTGCCATTTTGGTGTATTTACACTGAAATGCTATTGCAAAAACCCTATCTGCCCAGCAAGCAAGACCCTTCTATATCTTCTAGTTAGAAAGGTTACTTTTGGAGATGGTAAGGGACGAAAAAGAACAAAGATGGATAGCACTATGGTCTGTTTTTAGGACATTCGCCAGAACATTGGCTAGCTGTGGGACACCCTGCTCAGACTTGGGGAGATCAAAGTGCGTATGACTCAGCTGCCTGGGGTTAGGTTCCCAACACTTTGCTCTTCTAGGAGTTGGGCTAGGAGGTTTATTACTGTTATAGAGATTCTCCTTGGCTTACACTCTGAGGGCTTAACATGTGACAAAGTTTTCTATGTTGTTACAAGTATGATTCAGCTAGTCACAAACAGGAGAGTAGTGACCAAATAGCAAACTGCTCCCTGGTATTCAACAAACCATTGGTTCTGTGTTGGGTGGACTGCTGCCAAGAACACAGAGACTTGGGACTTTGTGCAGACATGATCAGGGATTCCCAGCCACAGAAAAGGGATTATCCACCTCTGCTGAGGGCTGCTCCAGAGCTGGGACTCCATATTATATTGCCAGCAACACTTGGTATTTTAAACTTTCTGAGGATGGACTTTTCTAAATCAGCATTTCCCTTGCTGAGCAATCAATCCCAGCCAGGTGAATATTTGCAGAACAGATCAGAAAATGAGCTGTATCTCTGATGTGAATTCTCTGGATTTATGAGTATGGGTTCTCAGAAACCCTCTGATCTAGCTTTCGATGGAAAATAAAGAATTTGAAGTCAAGGTTTGGAGAGGACATGGAGCCACCTAACCACACCTTTTCCAAATATTATAGCATGTGCTTACCGCCCCACAAGTGTGTGGATGTGTAACTTGATCTTCTCTTTGACCCCAAGTAGTGGCGGTGTTCTGTCCATTATCCAGCTGGGTGGGGGCAGGATGGTTTCTTTCTTGCTATTCAGTGTTATTTCTAACCAACACCTTGCTTTTTCTTAACCTCAACTCTAATTTTAAATCTTGTATCATCTGACTATACCATTACTGCTTTCCAACTTATATCCATCTACCAATCTGCAGATTTTTTCCTGAAATGTGTTTAAGATTGGTAATCCTGGCAATGGCCAACCTATTTTTGTCATAATTTTCAGTGATTTCAGTCTTCTCCTGGAAAATTTGTCCAATGTTCTCATTCTTTGTTTCATCTCATTTAATACATATGGTTGTTTTGCCTGCAAGCATATTTGTTCACTCTGAGTGTGTCTGATGCTCACAGAGGTGAGAAGAGGGTGTCAGATACCCTGGAAGACCTATTTTCTTGTTTCTAGAGTTAGGGACCAGAGACTATACATAGGTTGCCCTAACAATCTGGTCTTGGCCACATGTCCTTGATTAGCCAATTAAAAATGAAAAGCAGAAAATGGCAGGATGGCAGTGGTATATGCCTTTAATCCCAGGATTCAGGAGGGAGAGTCTCTGTGTGTATGAGAACAGCCTGGTCTGCAGAGCTAGTTCCAGGACAGCCAAGGCTACACAGAGAAACCCAGTCTTGAAAAAACAAAACCCAACAAACAAACAATAAGCAAATTGAAAGAAAAGCAGAAAAATTATTTATTCAATGTGATCATATTGGAAAGAACAAAGAGATCCATCTTTCAGGGATCCAAACATGAGAATAAAGTTTTAAACAGAAGGCATAATTAAGCAGTCCTGGTCAAGGTGTGATTATGGACCCATCACTGTTTCAGGTCCTGTCTCCTGCAAAGTAGTCTGACAAGTTATTGGCACTCTTTGAAATCTCTTTCTGAATTCTGGGAATCAAGTTTCCTGATGAGTAGCAACAGGCTTCAGTCTTTTCCTTCTCCAATCATGATATCCTTGGGTGCTACTTTGTTTCAACAGTCCAGGCAGCCTCATTTTCACTCCTAATTCTCAAAACAGCATACAGAATTTTTTTTTATTTTATTCAAGGCAGAAGGATTGCAAGTTTGAGGCCTGGGGCTACACAGTGAGTTTGAGCCCAGCAATTCTCCAGTAAACCTTATGAGTGACATAAAGGAGCAGTGTGGTTTTTGTTGGCTTAATCTGTATTTTGAGGATGCCCTGGCAGGATTTCTAGCCCAGTGATTTTCAACCTTTCTAACGCTACAACATGTTGTGGTGACCCCCAAACATAAAATTATTTCATTGTCACTTCATAACTGTAATTTTGCCACTGTTATGAATTGTTAAGTATCTGATATACGACCCAATGGGGTCATGGCCCACAGGTTGAGAACCACTATTAGGTTTTCTGGTGCTTTCTTCAACTGAGAACCCTTGCCCACCAGCTCATCATGTCAGTGCTCTTGGAGATTTGAGATGACAAAGCCAGGCGGTGATGTTGCACACCTTTAATCCCAGAACTCTGGAGGCAGAGGCAGGTGAATCTCTGAGTTCGAGGCCAGCCTGGGCTACAGAGAGAGTTCCAGGACAGCTACGGCTACAGACAGGAGAAAACCTATCTCCAAAGGGGGCGGGCGGTAAAAATTGAGATGACTGCAGCACCAGAACCCACGGAGTGGAAAAGCCTAAACTGCAAGTCAGTTTAGCCAGCCTGCTCTAGCCCTCCCATCCGAAGGGCAGGAAACGGAAGTGACGGAACCCCCGGCGCCTGGATCACCACCCCTCTCATCCTCCCAGCCGGGAGAGAGGACACGAACCCGGAAGGGGCAGGGCGGGCGTCCGACGCACAGTGGCGGTTTGTTGTCCTGGCTTTCCGTAGCAGCCCGCGGAGTTTGAGTGTGAGGAGATCCAGGTCGCGGCAGGCTCCAGGCTTCGCAGGTTCCCCTGCCCAACTGCCTCAGCTTCCCCCGCCTTCCTGCACCGGCTCCGGCGGCGCGTCGTCCCCCGCCGCAGCGGGTCGTCCTCTCAGACCCAAGTCCTGTCCCTACGCCCATCTGTGCTCACCTCTGGGCAGTTTTCCATCTCCCCAACCAATCCTCGTTTCTCCTTCCTTTCATCCCCACTCCTCCCAGAGAGTAATTTTCAAACCATTTCCCCCCGTCTTTATTTCCTGCCCCCTCTTTCCTTTCTCCTAACCAGAAGTCAGATGCCAGGAGGTATGGCGCCCCTCAAGAAGCCTCGGAATCCCACAAAATTGCCTCTGGCTTTAGACCCTACGAAGAGCAAGGATGTTTTGGCAGTGCTGGCCGAGAGGAACCTGCCCATAGTACCAGTCGGGGCATGGGTGGAACCTGCCTCACCCAGTTGCTCGGAAATCCCAGCACAAGTGAGTGTCAGTTGGTCCAGATACAGTGATCCCTGCCCGCCTTTTTAAAATTAGCTTTCTCAGTCTTTGGTGCTTAGAGATGAGCAGCTGAAGGATGCTGTTTCTATTCTGTTACAGATTATATTCCTGCATAGGAATTATACAATCATGATGTATTTTCCAAAACTTGTCTCATCTTTTGTTGGCACAATCAAATATTATTTAAATACTTATTAGTCACTTACTATACAGGACATAATTCGTGGACCAGTAAATAGGCTATTTTATTTCACAAACTTGATTGTTTGCTGTGTAAGACATAGGTACTGTGTACATCTTCCAGACATTTTAACGTAATATGAATGACAGCTGGTCACACTTTAAATGTTAATTACTTGCTCAAATTTCTAAGTTTTTAAATGAAGATCTAGGCAAAATGAACTAAGAAAAGAGAAGAGAAAGAATTTAATCCTGACAGAAACTCTGAGAAAGTTGTAGATTGCATGAGGACAAGGCAGCTTCTTGTTCATTCCTCTTCTGGTGTAAAGTAGGCCTTTTAGGAATTATTTGTTGACTGAATGAGGAAGTATGGTCCTTGTTGGCCCTGAAAGAATAGAATCGCAGTAACTACAGACAGGAAGAAGAGTTTGGATGAAGGGACACCCTTTCAAAAGTTTACACTTGTATATGTTTGAATGTGGCGTCTCATGCTAACACATGAGAGCGGTTATGCAAGATTTTTGTTTAGTTTTGTTTAGTGTTTCAACAAACTGTTCCTTAGTCTTTGTTTAGCTTTTATTGTGCATAGGGAACAAATCATGTTCCACGCTCCCTGTGTTTATGTTAAGCAAATATTGTCTAATATATGCAGATACCCAGAAAGTATGGAATGCAGGAAATCTGCAGTGTTGTATAGACAAGGTACTGAACATGGGGAAAAATATATTCTTAGTGCTCTTGATTTTAGAGGAGAAACAAGACACATTTGAACACATATAAGGGCTCTGGAGATGGCTTAGCAGTTAGAAGTACTTGTGCAAGCCTGATAACTGAGGTTCTAGTCCTGGAATCCAGGTTCAAGCTGGATGGGGTTGTGTACATTTGTAATCCCCACACTCCTGTATTGAGGTGGGAGGCAGAGGCAGGAGAATCTGCCAGAAGCTTGTGTGCCAGTCAGCCTGGAGTCAAGTAGCAGAGACAAGAGAAACCTGCCTCAAAACCAGGTGGAAGGACAGAGCCAACTTCTGATAAGTCCTTTGATCTCCACACATAAGATCATACCATGGCATGCACATGTATATACACTCACAAACAACCACACAAAATAAATTTTAAAAATTATAAATGTGGGAGTGGAGAGATAGCAGTTAAGAGTGCTCAGCACCCATAAGGCAGCTAGCAACTGCTTTTAACTCCAGTTCCAGAGAAAATCTAAACTTCTGGTCCCTGAGAGCACTGCAAGCATGTGGTGCACAGACATATATGCTGGCAAAATATCCATACACATAAAAGATAAAAATTAACACTAAAAGATTATAAATGGCTAGATGTGGTAGCACACGCCTTTTATCCCAGCACTTGGGAGGCAGCAGCAGGTGTGTCTCTGAATTTGAGGCTAGCTTGGGAGTTCCAGGCCAGGCACAGTAAGACCCTGTCTCAAAAAAACAAAACAAACCCGAAACATCACCACCTCCCCCAGGTTTAAGGGTTAGGGAGACATTAGATTTAGAGGAATAATTAGAATAAATTACAACAGTTTAGGCATGAAGCATGTCATCAAAATTTCTTTAGTAATAGGGAATGAAAGAGGGGAAAGCCATGAAAAACTGAGTGAAATGGGAATCAATAAATAAGAATTAGTACTTTACAACTCTTTAATTCCATCTATTTATTTGTATATGTGTGTGGTGGGGAGGTCAGAAGACTTGTAGAAATTGACTCTCTCCTCCTACCATGTGGGTATTGGTGATGGAATTCTGCTCATCAGAGTCTTTACCTGCTTAGCTATCTCACTGGCCCAATACATTTTTTAATTACTAAGATACCTTTATAATGTCAGTATTATCAAACTCCTCAAAATTTGTTTTGTTACCATAACACCTTTTTTGGTGTTTAAAATAGTTTAATTTTAACTTCTCAAATTCAGACTATTAAAATCTTGAAACAAAAATCAGATTGTCTTCTTTCCTCCTTTTAAATAATTCTATAATCATTTCCAGTCAAAGGGGGTTTGATCAAGCATCTGGTAGAACTCTTTTTTACATCAGCATATTTAATCTGGGAATCCATCCTTGTTAACAGGCGCAGCACTGTTAATTCAAAACTATGGTGAATGGTTGTTACTTGGCTAATCTAAAGACATATTTGTTATAAAGAAGAGCTTAAAATTCCAAGGGGTCTTTGTGGTTCATAAAAGCCTCATAGCTTCAGAACTTCATTTCTCTTTGGTAATGAAATTATTGGAAAAGTCACTGTGGTCTTATATATGATCTCTCTTGCATATACATCCCCCATTATCTTGGTATATACAAACCATTTCAGAACTTAGTGGCATAAAGCAGGTATTGTGTCAGGAGTTTACAGAATAAAGTGGCAAGTCTTTTATCTGCTTTAGTGTCCTGGGCCTCTGCTGAATGGCTTAAGTAACTAGATATATTTGGGACAGCTTGATGAATTCTCACTGTTAAAGTTCTTGGTTCTTTGTAGGCTGTTATGTCCACTAAGGCTTTTTCATGTGTGGCATTTGAGCTAGGATGACTAGAATACTTGGGTTCTGGCTGGATAGCTAGTTTGGCTAGCTGTGCTCCCTCTAACATGGGAGTCTCAGAATAGTCAGAATTCTTTTTGGGCACTGGCTTTCCTCATGGTGAACATTCCAGAGCTTCAGTAGAAGTTGCCTAATGACCTTGTGGGGGGAAGTTATAGACCTATTGTTGTTTATACATAGATAGTGTGGGAAAAGACACAATAGCATCAATACCAAGAGACTTGATTTATTTCCGTTAAGATATATCATTTTTGAAGACTAATTTCTGTATAATTTAAGCATTATCCAAAGAAAGGAGTGCTAAACATTCCCTGTCCTCAGAATTCATAATCTAGTAGGAGAGTTAGTAAGTTATTCATATTAAGATGAAATGTGCTATATAGCATAAGAGCTTAGAGGAAAGCGTAGATAGTCTTGAAGACTAAGAAGGCCTTTACTAGATGGGTGAAAGGGATGCTACGTTAAAAATGGAGTGAAAGGCACTTGGGAGACAGAGATGGGGTTGAGGTAAGCTTCAATTATGTAGTGGGCTGCAGACTAACTGGGGCTCGGGGCTATAATGGTGGCATACTTCCCTCAACCCAAAAAAAGAAGGGTGGCTAATTCTAAGTATGAAGGCACTACACATTGGGAACATGTCTGTGAATGGTGAACAAAATGGTACATCTACTGTTTACTATATTAGAAGCCGTAACATAAATGGGTCAAGATCAGTTTGTTCAGAATTAATGAAGACATCTTTGGTTTTGGTTGAATAAAACATTAAGATTTGATATGAGTATTCACAAATTCCTTTTTTTTTTTAAAGCTTCTGACTTACTTTGAGTTCTTGGGACTCACTAGCGACACTTAGATAGGTGGTTTTGAACTGTGACTTCTTCGCTCTTCCAGAGACTGGATTATAGAACTGAGTTTTTGTTCTTCACAACTATACACTAACTTTTCTCCATTCATGACATCCCTCATGGACAAAAGCAATGACATTTAAGTTCATTTTTCTGTCTTTTCTCTTTAAAGACTTCAGCATACATGATTGAAGAGGAAATAAAGGAGCAGCAACGAAGAAAGCAAGAGTCTTTGAAACATTTTCAGAGACAAGTCAGGCACCGGGTAAATCAGCAAGTTAAGCTGAGAAAAAAGCAACAGCTTCAGAAATCTTGCAAAGCAGTAAGTTCCTAAGTGAGGTGGCTGGAATGGAAAGCTTGTGTGCTGTGAGACAGTATCAGGATCACTTCTCTCTTGATTCTGTGTAATTAGAATCCAATTTTCTACTGAGCACAGCCAATTTTCATGTAGAAAAACTTTTTATTCCTGTGTTGTTCTGACTTGCCTTTTTCCCTTTCACTACATACTTGAAAAAGAATGTCAGGATTTTGGGTGCATATTTAAATTTGAATTCCTTCTTTGCCACTGTCTAGCTATGTGACCTTGTGTTAATTACTTAACTTTTCTGATTGTGTAATAGTTTCCTTATTTATAAAATAGACAAATGTTGAGTATGGTGGCTCATACCTGTAATCTTAGTACTTGGGAAGCTGAGGCAGGAGGATTGCCATGAGTTCCAGACCTGGACTACATAATGAGACCCTGTCTCAAAAAAATAAGTACATATATAATATATATACATATGTATATATTATATATAATATATAAATATACATATATGGTATTGTTATGTAAATATGAGGCGTGTATTTAAAAGAGTTCTGTAAAGGAACAGAATGGATAGGGGAGTTATTAAAGTGACTTTCAGGCTATGGTCCAAGAAGTTCAACAGTGGCTATCTCTGATGGAAAGCAGGAATCCTGTAGTCATTTAGTCCATGAGACTGGATATCTCAGCAGTCCCAATCTGGTGCTAGAGTCCCAGAGGATTCTTAGACAGCTGCTACTCTTTTGGTCTATTTGGACTTGCAAAGAAGTAGCTTCTAATTAGGAAAGGAATGCCTCAGCAACAGGATGAACTTGCCAGTGAGACTGAGAGGAAGCAGACAAAAAAACCAAAAGCTCCCTTCTTCCATGTCTTTTTACTTGGACTGCCACCAGAAGGTGGCCTACATTTAGGGTGGATCTTCCCATCTCACATCATCCAATCAAGGAAGCCTCTCACAGGTGTGCCCAGCTGCTTGAGTTTTCCTTGATCCCAGATGTAGTCAAGTTGACAGTCACAATTAACCATTACAATATGATATGATACCTAATCTTATAGGATTGTAGAAGAGCTAGGTGTGATAGTCTAGTTAAATTATTAATACATGGTAGGTGCCTGGTAAATGTTAGTCCCTCTGTCAGCTAAGGCTCCTCTCCCCTGCCACTCCATTGTTCTGGTTGAAAATCTTAAGGCTGCTAGGAAGGATTATTTGTGCTAGAAGGGAATAGAGTCTCACTATCCCTCCTTTTTTCCTTTGTGTAGGCAGAAAAGGAAGGCTCTGTAGCCATGCAATGTTCAGATTCGGCACATTTAACTCCTAAAAGGACAAGTGTTTTTCCCAGCAATTTGAACGCTGCTATGGGAAGTTATATGTTACCCTCTTCCCAGGTGCTTGGGGATGCCACAGAAGTCGGGGAGAATCAGAATCATTTGTTTGAACAGCAAGCTCAAGCTGTAAGTACAGGTACATTTCATTTTATATTTGTAATGTTTCCCTTTAGTCCTTAGAGATTAGGAGTTAACATACTGAATTTCACTTTTCTTCTTGTGTGTATTATGTGGTGTGTGTGTGTGTGTGTGTGTGTGTGTACGCTTGCATGGGCTTGAGGTTAACATCAGTTGTCTTTCTCAGTCACCCTTCCATGTTGTATATTGAGGCAGGGTCTCTCACTGAACCTGGTGCCCTACTCCCTATCTCTTGCCCCTCTTATGTAGGGATTTATACATGAACCACCAGCTCACCTGGATTTTTATGTGGGTTCTGGGGATTTGAACTTCGGTCTTCACAGTTACACAGTAAGCTCTTTACCTGCTGAGCTATCTTCCCAGCCCCAAGTTTACTTTTTTATTGCCACTTTTTTTTTTCAGGGACTAGTATGATAGTGCTTATTTTCCTTTTTCAAAAATTGTTGACTTATGGATTGATTGGCTGGTTGGCTGATAATGTCTTGCTATGTAGCCCAGACTGTCCTCTTCCTTCTATTTCCCAAGTGCTGGGATTATACACATGAGCCACCATACCTTCCTTATTTATAAATATCTTTTTTGCATTCGCTTTTTGGTAAGACATTGTAAAACTATCTAAAGAAAGGTATTAACAGTCTAGAATTCAAAATTTATTAGAAAGAGTCTTAAGTCAAAGAACATCGAATTTCCCAATTGTATTAAATTATGTTCTTTATATACTATTGGCCGTTAGTAGCTGTGGACAAGAATGATCTTAACCTTTGATGCTAAGGGATTCAGTACAGTTAAAGAGTATTTCATTTATTGTTTTTGTTTATATTACTTTTCTCTTTTAAATTAATTATCACAATAAAATTATCTACTATATGTCAGGCAATAATATAGTAAATTATTAACATATCAGAATACTTGGAAAAAATTGTAGTGACTTTTTTAAAGATTTTATTTATTTATTATGTATACAACATTCTGCTTCCATATATATCTGCACACCAGAAGAGGGTACCAGATCTCATTACAGATGGTTGCGAGCCATCATCTGGGAATTGAACTCAAGACCTCTGGAAGAGCAGTGGAGCTCTTAACCTCTGAGCCATCTCTCCAGCCCCATGTAGTGATTCTTTAAATGTATCTGATGCTTAAAATTGAAAGCATTGTGAATAGCAGCATACTCCCCATCCAGTCAGTTCCTTTCTTGGTTACCTGAGCTTTTGTTGATGTGTCTACTTTAAGAATTGTTCTTTATCTTATTTGAAAACACATATTTAGGGATAGTGAGAAGAAAAGAAAAGGAAAAAATTGTGGTAAATAATGACCACATGAAAATAAAAGCCATTTTACCTCCTGAGTTAATTTACTTTTCTGAGTCCTTACATAGCTTCAGGGATTGACCTAACTGGGGCAGCAAGACAGATGTTTAGGGACACCTGTACAGACAAACTAGGATCAAATGGACTGGGTGCTCTGATGGAGAAGCTGCAGCATCCTGGAAGTTGAGCTTATTTATTGTGGAGTTGAGCAGTGAGGCGGGTTATGGCATACGGCTGAATCAAGGAAGCAGAGCTTCTGGTATGCAGCTAGATCAAGGAGGCATATTTAGCTAATCTCAGGAGCCATCTTTTAAGGGAATAGTCTTGGGCTAAGAGGAGAAAGCTATGATGAACGTTTTCTGCACATGTTACCAACATTGGCACATGGAGTAGAGAAAGGACTTGCTATTCCTCTGAACCTCACCCAGGGAAGACTTCACCACTTTCAAGGCATTGTGGTTCTTGACATGGCTGTGTCCATATCAACAACACACATTCACTCAGGATTTTACTCATATCCACAGTATTTGGTCATAACCAGATTGCACTATATGTATAGAGAGAGCTTTACAAGGCATGTGCTATCATCTTCAAACTTTGTTTTGAAATTTCTTTTGCCTCAAACTTTTTTCTTTGTTTGGGAGCATTGTGTGATTTGTAGTAATCATTTTTATAATTATTTTAATTTTCTTTTTAAAGTTTATAAATAGGAGCTAGATGGAGTGATGCATACTTATAATCTTAGCCTTCAGGAGTCAGGTCGGGGAAAATAGAAAATTGGATGCTACATAGACTTTGCCTTAATAAAAAAGAAAAAAACTGAAGAATTTATTAAACCAGATACTGGTTACATTATAAGATATAGAAGAGTGAAGGACAGATCCAGCCTTTACCATCATGATTATAAATATAAATCTCATTATAATAAGGATTTTTATAGAACACATCAGTCCGAATGTAAGTGAACACATTGTGTTTGTTAAGTGTTGTGGGGAGTTCTAATATGTGAAATAAGACCCTCTATGGGTTGACATTTCCAGGTAGATATACTGTAGTCTCTTATACCCCAAATCTAGTAAGTAATATAGACATATTTGATGTGTTTAACCAAAAAAGTTGTGCCATGGGAATTTCAAATTTTAAAATTCTAAGGAAATAGTAGAGAGAGTATTCATGCAAGAGATGGAATTGAACTGTTTATTTTTAATTGTTATGCTGAACTGAACTGACACATACATTCAAGAGACTTTTTGAGAGAGGAACAGTGAAAAGTGTAGGGTCTATAATGTGCTTGATATGTTCTAGAATAAGTGATGAAGTCTTTCTAGTTGGTAGTTAATAAAGGAAAATAAGGTTATGCCAGGTCTTGGTGGCTCACGCCTTTAATCACAGCACCCGGGATGCAGAGGCAGGCGGATCTCTGTTGAGTTTGAGGCCAACCTGATCTACAGAGTGAGTTCCAGGACAGTTTCCAAAGCTACAGAGAAACCCTGTCTCGGAAAGGAAGAAAGAAAGAAAGGAAGGAAGGAAGGAAGGAAGGAAGGAAGGAAGGAAGGAAGGAAGGAAGGAAAGAAGAAAGGAAAGGGAGAAAGATTATAAAGAACCTTTGTATTATGAAAGTTTAAAAGTTTGTATATCTTTTCATTCTTTTTCCTTGAAAAAAGATGACTTAGTAAAGAATGTTTGGTGACTTATTGATTTGGTCCTGTGAACTTTTGCCCACACAGCCCTATGACCACAGTTGTTTTTATTCTTACTGTTTCTGTTGCACTTTCAATCCACTAGATGTCATTATGAAACCAGACAGTGGAACTGTTGAAGCATTAACTCCTTTACTTTACCTAGCACTGATTAGAGTCTGGCATCATAATTTGGTTTCTGAATGTTAGTGAACTTTTCACTTTTTGTTTCTTTAAACTGGAGAAAAATAGAATCCTGGGGTTGGGATTTTCAGTTAATTCACCCAGCTTTTTATTTTATTATTTTATGTGATTTGGCTTACCTTTGCCTTCCGAGTCCTGGGATTAGAGGTGTGTGCCAACTACACCTTCGTAGCAGTGGGTTTTTAAAGTTCATTGATGTTGAGATATTTAAGGATGAAATAATTTGACACCTGGAATATACTTAATAATATAAGGATCAGCTAGTGTCTTAATCACTTTGCTGTTGCCATGACAAAATGCCTTGACAAAGGCAACTTAAGGGAGAAGGCTTATTTAGGCCTAGAGCTCCAGGGACATGCAGTCCATTATGGCTGGGAAGACATGGCAGCTGACAAGGAAGGTGTGGCCTTGCGAGCAGGAGACTAGCTGGACATACTGTGTCTGCACTCAAAAAGCAGAGTCTGGAGAAAGTACAGCTGTGCACTGCCTTCCAAGTGCTAGGATTAAAGGTGTGCACCACCACTGTCCTGCCCCTAGATTCTTTTTTTTTCCCTTGGATTTTTGAGGCAGGGTTTCTTTGTGGCTTTGAAGGCTGTTCTGGAACTAGCTCTTGTACACCAGGCTGGTCTTGAATTCACAGAAATCTGCCTGCCTCTGCCTGCCAAGTGCTGGGATTAAAGGCGTGGGCCACTACCACCCAGCCCCTAGATTCTGTATAAGAGAAAACATGATACTTTGTTCCTTTCCTCATTACTACTTGTTCCCCTCTCTCTTTTAGACCTTTTCTTTCTTATATACAGCACACATAAGAGAAAACTGTATATAAGGGAAAACGTGCAAATGCTTTTATCTGAGTCTGGTTTATTTCATCTAACATGATGATCTCCAGTTCCAGCCAATGAGCAAATGACATTATTTCATTTCTCTTTATGGATGAATACAATTCCATTTGTGTATATCTATCACATGTTTTCTTCATTGATAAGCATTTGTGAAGGTCTCCTTTCTTGGCTGTTTTAAATAGTGTACAGCAATAAAATGGATGTGCAACTATGTCTGTGATATGCTGACTTAGATTCCTTTGGGTATATATACAGGAATTCTAGACCTGGATCCCATGATGGTTCTGTTTTTAGTTTTTGAGATGCTTCAAACTGATCTCCATAGTGGCTGCAGCAGTTTGTGTTCCTACCAATAATATAACCTTTAACTTAACCCCTCACATCCATCCAGCATTCTCACTGGGTTTAGATACAGTCTCAAAGTAGTTTTTAAATATTCACTTCCCTGGTAGCTAAGCCTGTTAAGCACTTGTAAAAATGTTTCTTAGCCATTTGTATTTTTTCTTTTGAGAACTGTCTGCAGTTCATTTGTCTATTTATTGACTGGATGATTCTCCTTTTTTAGTGTCTAAGTTTTTCAGTTCTTTATAGATTAATCTTCTGTCAGATGTGTGGTTAGTAACGATTTTCTCTCATTCTGAAAGGTTCATAACTCTGTTGTTTTTTTACTGTGCAGAAATGTTTTAATTTCATGCAACCACATTTGTCAATTCTTAGAACAATTTCCTGTGCTATTGGAGTGCTTTTTAGTGTTTCTTGAAGTGTTTCCTGTGTTTTCTTCTAACAGTTGAGTTACAGGTCTCATATAAAGATCTTATATTTGATCCATTTTGATTTTTTTTGGCATAGGAGTGTCATATGAATTTAATATCATCCTTCTATATGCTGTGTTGTTTTTATTCTCTCATTATACCACCAGATTTCTAGCCTTTTTCTATCCTAGAAGTAATTAC